CGCCTGGCTCACACCTATCGTTAACGTTTTGATTTCCAGATTCACTGATGTAACAATCGATTCTGCTGTTTTTCGTCGATATGAACTGACTGGAATTGACTTAAACAGCTTGTGTCCTATTCGAATGGGATGATAAGTTCAAGTAGCGCATGGACGGCTGCGATTCTGTGGACACCCGTGCTTCGGAACTGAACTTGGTCGAGTGGCTGCCGGTCAGCGCCTCTGGAAACGCTTGCTGAGAAGACGAGTGACCACGAGGCAGTGGGGCCTTGAAAAAGGATGCCAGACGTAGCCACGATGGCTGTCGGCAAGAAGGTCTTATATTTGGTACGGCGTTGGGTTTATGGCTACGATTATACTTAAGGTTAGGTTTAGGGTCAGCGTTTAGTTTAGGGTTGTGATTCGACTTAGTATTGGAGTTAAGTTTGGGGTAGGAGTTTGGTTTATAGTTAGTCTTGAGCCTAGGATTTGCTTTAGATTTAGACATGTATAAGGCGATCGAAACTCAAGTGAACCAAACATCATAAAAAGAAACCGAAGATTAAATTCGGTAACATCTGGGCTAAGTCCACTGTTGGCACTGGTCAAATTTGAATTTATTCATGGCATAAAATAAAATTTTTCTTTATTACACAGCACATTTCTTGTCTAGTCCTCATACACTAAACACCAGTGTGGTGAGGTCCGCCAGGCGCGATTTAAAATGCCTCTTGGTTCTTACTGATTAAGTCCGCCGGTAGGTCACCGACAGCGCCTCCTGAAAGTCTGGTCAGCAAACCACTCACCTCGATGAACCTTCTTAATTTCTGATGTAGTATAATTTCATAGAAATTATCTGATCAATGACGACCAAACGTAACTAATTATCTTAGTTAGTTACGCTTGAGTTTCATAGACTCCTCATTAATGGTATGAGAATTCTATGAAATAAGAATTCTTATGTTATAGTTCCAGAGGATGCATCCAACTGAGTTTGTTCTCTTCGACGTATGGACATTTTAAAATTTTAGTCTCGGTTATATAACAGTTATAGGTAATGAGTCAACTACAATTGGAACAATTTGGGTGATTCTAGGGCACGCGCGTGGCGATATCGCCACCACATTGTCATTGTAAAGAAGACAGAGGTTGAATAGCTAGGACTTTATGATAGGATGTTGATGTAGGGATCTTCTTCTGTATCTTGTAATGCAATTTTACGTATATAGCGGTTTATCACCTTTTCTTGATCTCGCCTGAGAACGAATGCCTAGCTTTGAGAATAAGCTTATTCTGAAAGCCCATCCTGCTGTATTTTTTTTACTCTAACTAGACTTGTTGATTTATCGAGGGAATAATTCGCGGGTTAGTATCGTCTATTTATCCGTCATAAGTGTTGCCAAATTATGGTTTGCCCTCTGGCTCCGCTTTAGCGCGCCCGACCATTCGATGTTGCCATGCAGTGTGGTGTCTACATACCTCAGAAGCTATGCGCCTCCAATCCACCATTAAACATATCGCCCTAAGTGACAGGGAATCCTTAACGAAAAGCAGCTATTTACTTTCCTCTGGTAGCGCTTTTTAAGCAGTTGTCGGTCGATTTATTTACAAAAGAATCTACGTTCATTCAAACAGAGAGCTCTACAGTCTCGCCTCCCACAATTTCCGCCAATAATTTATCTACTCATAGAATATACTGAAGTCGAACTAGTGGTGTTTAGTTAGGTTGGTTCAGCCCGACCTCCACTAGCGTCCGGTGAAAATGTTTTTTAAGTGACCCTCACCTCTCGCGGTGTGTGTAGCCAAATTTTCAGCGTTTTGCGTCGGTCAATACTTGGTATTATGAGTTGATCGGCATTGCCGATAAACCAGTTTGAGTACGCTCGTACAATATAATCCGAATGACCGAAGCCATTCTCTCATCTGCGCTGACAGGCTGCTCCTCATGCTCTCAGTTGCCTATGTCACTCGATAATCATGCCTAAATTACCTCTTTCGCTTCGAGCGTTGGTAATAACGGAGTGTGGAGGTAGCAGGTATTCAACCATTCACACGCATATGACGGACGAAGACCCAACGTCGAGAAGTATGGCTCAAAGTACTCTACCAACGTATTAGGCAAACGGCTGTGGACCCGTACTTACTTGATAGACTGCTGCAACGTAATCACCCACAGAGCCAGGGTGGAGGTATATAGAGGGGAATGAGTGTGACCACTCTATCGTATAGTGAAAATGTCGAAACGCTCTGGTTGCTTCGATAGGTATCACTCATTTGGGGTGGCTATGCTTGATAAGGCTTTCGTCGTGCCTGGACTAGCTGGCCTCAACTCTGGCAGGTAGTGACTATCTGCACACGACAATAAACCTAAACAGATTTCGATAGTTTGGCTCAATCCCCCCGATGACGAAGGCCCGAAAAGCGTCTAAATGTCTTAAGTGACTGTATCCAGCCAGATTTTGAGCTGGCCGTGGCCGCCCTCAGTGAAGTAATAGCCTCGAATGTATGTCAGTCGCACTGTAATCATGACGCTGGCAGCGGAGAACGTGCATAAAGGGCGCAATTCTTCTTAAACTGATCTGATATATCCTCGCGGCGTGTGCACTGTCTCGTCTGGAACAAGGACGATGTACCTAACTTGAATGAGCGTTCTCGGGCAGCTGTCGTCCAAGAAACTGCGCTCTTTTGCTGTATTCTGCGTGCACGGCCCAGAGTTCACAGTTGTAAGGGAGGGCTGATCGGTCAACTGCTCGGTACACTCAACTCTTAGTGGCCATTGAGATATCGCGATACATCCATAACGCCTTCACAGACCTACGAGTCCTCGGCGGGCCTCTTCGAGTCTGAAGATCCTGTTGTCCTTACCCTGTTTGTTTAGGAGCAACTTGGTCCCGCATTACCTGAGACTGTCTTTTCCCCGAGTCTGACGTGCCTTCTCCTTGTCGGAGATGCATCTGGATAGTACTTTAAGCACTACAGCGCTGAACTGATGAGACGATTTACTTTGTACAAAATATTGCACTTGAAGCTTATCCGAATATAACACTAGCATAGTTGAGGTCGGCCATCCGGCCCTCGGTGCAAAATTGGACGCATTCGAAACCATGCAGACTCTTTCGAGAAATCCAGTCACTGATGACCTTAAAAGGTGAACCACGGTATGCAACCTACTAAACACCAGGCTGAATATTGAGCTATTGGGGAGACTTTTATGGTCCAGAGCAAAAGTTACCCCTGCTACTAACGGTAGTTTTTGCCTGCACACAGTCTAACTCTAATGTTGGCCTCAAGAAAATGGTTCGCCGTTATGTAGAATCTTTGAGCGGTCTTCTGGCTTTCCTTTGTCCGAGGTTTCATGCCAGATTTGCGGCTTTCGGCAGTCGCGCTTTGGACTGTGAAGTTCTTTTTTTTCTGGTAGCGTTTTCCAGCATGGTAATATCATCGGTATTATCAAAGTCTACGATATAGACGCGATGCGCGAAGGCTTTTATAGTAGCGAAAAGGTTTTTCCGAAATCAAATAAATGAAGAGTCGGAAAAGGACTAAGCCAGAGGATTTGGTCCTAATAGAAACGAATGTCTCCGCAAGGTGCCTTTATCTCGACAAACTTGTGCGCCTCGTCCGACTTTGGTCGTTTTGAGGGCGCACACTTTGCTTCGAAATTCTAAGGGAAACGCTGCGGACAAGGATTTGCTTGGCTCCACACCTCCTGTGATGAGATCGACATGGTGCTTTCTCGGTTCTTGCAGTAGACTTCGCGTAGCCCGTTGGGTCTGGCTGACGCCCTAGCTTTCTGGTGAATTGCCAACTCCTACGTCATTCTCCTCCTGCAGTTGGGTATTTACATAATAAACAGCCACAATTTTCCTCGTTACGCCAGGGCAGCTCTTTTCGATTCCTGCTTGCCACACGCCCTTGATGGGGACTTTGTGCGCCCGCTGGTACATTAAGTTTGTACACAAGTTGACGCTATACAATAACTGCTTTGGGGTTCCGACGTCAAAGCGTTGATCACAGCAATAGTCTTTTTATCGGTTCGAGGTCTTTGTCCTGTCTTCACATTCACCGAGTGTTCCTCCGTGACCGGACGTTCAGATCGGAGTTCAAACAGCCTGGTATCTTTGTCCTAGATCCATTTTTCGGTCATCTTGACCCTATCCGATAAATATTTTGCACGACAGGCAGGGTATATCAATATTGCTTTACTGTCACAGAAGATGTTGACTAAAATCTCGAAAGTGTGTTTTCATTTTTGGAGCCGAAATATTGATTAACATGGGTCGTATTCCCAGGCTGCTCCATGTGCAGCGACATACAAGAGTTTGCTTGCGACTCCTCTCAGTCACCTATGTAACTTAGCTTCGGAGGTAATGGCCGTGCAAACTGCGTGCGTTTGTCAAGTTGACTCGTGATATCTACAAAAATTCAATAATATTTTGTGAATTGAATGCACAAATATAATTTTTGTGCATTTTGTAGGAAACTACGGCTTCTTTAAATTTAATACTTTGAAATTGAGAGTCGTCGATTCGGAGCTGTGAGCTCTTCAGACATCTACTCGTTTGTTTGTGTAGTCCAATGTCCTAAACCTTATTCCATCAACATCAAAAAGCCTCTTTAGGAAATATCAAAGTTTATTTTTCGGGAAACTTCGCGGAACGTGACTTAGAAACCCTGAATGTAAATTAGACGCTGGTTGTTTCAAAACATGCGTTAATTATCCAACCCCTTTTAAAATCGAAATACTTTCCTCTCTCAAATGCGAAGTTGAGATAAGACGCAGCTTCCTTAGCGGACTATTTTTTTGCGTTAACCCTCATCGGTTCCTCCGGACGCTATGAGATGAGTAGTACTTGCCATTTCCTTGATTCTTTTGTGTAATCGTCAGTAGGTTTCGTCGGATTGCTGTTTATCTGTCCAAACAACACTCTCTTCGCGAGCTTCCCTCTCGGCATAGTCCAAAGACTGTGTATTCATCTTTTTTTTCTATTTTCCAGATTTTGTGATATCCGCCAACGGGAATGGTCTGCGTGCCGTGCCTCATCGTTCCCTTTTTCTTGTGGATTTTCCACAAATTCTTCCTGCCCTACTTACTTATTTTCTTTCCAAACCTGCGCCAACGTCTCGGATATGAAGAAGTTGAACAAGTCGGTGGCGTAAGTTGTGCCCGTATCAATCCTTTTGAATTTGCTCCGACTTGGCAGAGCCTATCTGACTTTTGTGCTTGCCTGACGTTCTACTCCGGCCTATTTTATTGTCTTCGCAAACCTATCATGGTTGCACATTTTAGTCTCGAGGGGGGCCGTTTTCCAGTAGTTTGGTCGGTCGCGGGTAATCTTCTCATTGTTGTTCGGACCAACACGGGGGACGCGTTGTTCGAACTGCGCATCCCACAACAGATGACGCACGAGGAGTGTGGTTGAACGCCCAGGGGAAGGTTCACGCATCCCCAGCCACTTGCACCCAATCCCCCGCACACTACGTAGCTGGCCGGTTCGGGCAGTGGACTGGTGCCTGGGGACGGAAGGAGAGCGTAATGTCGACTGGGGACTCCATCCCCACGAAATCCAACGCAGATTCTTCACCATAAACAATCAGACGCACTTTAAAACTATCATAGTGCACTAAAAGCCGTGTCTTGGAAGGCTACCCACCGACGGGATAACACGACCCTACTCTCAGAACGGAGAGTCAGAGTGCGATGGCTCCTTAATGTGGCCTCTATAATACTCCCACTAGGATGGTATCCGAGCCACGTCTTTCTTTTTTGTGTGGGAACCCGATCCTTTGTGCGCAGACCAGGTCGTTTGTGACACGTGTAGATGGAATGTTCAGCTTCGCCAGCCGTCGAGGCCGATCTCACTCCCGTTCTTGATCCTGTCTTGATAACAGACCCAGGTGTGTAGGGGAGGAGAGGATGGTAGATGCAACGCAAGTCGCCGTCCCTGCGCCCACCATGCTGTGGGACACACGAAGGACATGATCGTTCGCGGTGGTTGAACTATCTGTCGACACTTACCCCTGAGTATACGTCTAATTCTTCGGCAGCCTGGAACCCTAGACATGCCTGTTCGCACTGTAAGACTTAAGCACCAAATCGGGCATGCAAAAGGAAAGAAGCGACGTCAAGTAACGCGCCCTTTGGAATGGTGAAACTATCGTCTTTTTTGGGTTGCTTTTCTGATCCCCTGAGGGTTCTCCAAACTGCTGCCGCGTGCTGTCAACAATTAGCGGCTACGCCTCACAGCCGGGGAGAATGGCTCTGGCTATGACAGCTTCCCCAGTGCTGACTTATGCGTGAACTGCATCATGAGCAGGGAAATTTTGCATAATCTACCGACACACCAGATAAGCGTCGTCACAAACAACTGCGCTCATCGCGCGCCCCATAGCGTAAGTGCAGCATCGGTACTTGCGCAGCGTCTGCCGCACTCGCTCTTCTGTCGCCCCTCCTGCTCCGCCAACAAAAAGCGCCCGCACGACGGATGTGGGCGCTGGTGCAGTGGCTGACAGCTAAGCAGCTCATATACGCGCGCCACACACAACCGGTTTCCCACTACATGTGTCGCGTTACATAACGACCACATGGGAAAAGGTCATCTACCGAATGTCCTCTGTCACCCACTGTGTTCCAGGGACGAGGCCATGGCTGAAGGTGAGCGTGGGTGCAGTGGTCGATCTGGTCAAAGACCCCCCTTCTACGCGCGCCACACGCCCTCTGGCCTTGCTCATGGCTGCTCATCCGATGACACCGCCCTGGACGGGAGCTGATAGTATTTGCCCTCTCGGAACATGTGTGATGAGGTCGTTCCGCCATCTGGCAGAAGCTGGATTATGGATATTAAGACACACGGTCCGTCTCACCGTCCCTGCCGTATTCTTGGAGCACCACCGAGTTGTTTCGGGTGGTGATTGGTTCAAGTACGGTTGCTGACCAGGCATTTCGCGCCTGTTCATCACGCGTGCCACACATTTCCTTGTTCCTCTCCCCAAAAACCTGAAAGATGCTCCATCCACAACCTTCTTAGGGCAACATGAAGGCTGAGGTCGACCAATTACTCGACACATCGTTGTTTGTCTTTGTAGGATACGCCAGTAGAAGATTCCACCGCCCCGCCGGAGAAGGCACCTGATCAAGACCAGACGGTAAGTCCTTGAAACTGTAGTCTAACTTGGAATTTTTAGAGCCAAGCAAAGAAAGTCCAATGAACAATCAGTTTAGAGGGCGAAACGTTGGAATGCAACATTATTTCGTCTCTTGTCTACACCTTTTTCCGTCTCATGTATGGCTGTGCCTGTCAGAGCCGGTTGACAGTAAATAAATTTCCACGATCTCACGCATTTTCTACTCTTTTTTTCTGGAATCAATTCAGTGTGTCCTCTGTCGCAGCGAATGGTTTCTGGAGACTTTGTAGGGTCTGTTAGTTACACCTGTGTTTAGAATGTGACGCAGTCATTGCTCTGTGGATTGAACGCACTACTTACTGCCTATTTTGTAGGTGTAAGCAGTTTGCGGTTATTCCAGTGAAGATTCCACAATTTGACAAGCACAATTTCGACTACAGGCGAAAGTTCAAGTTCCAGGTGAACTGGTCGAGCAGTTTGTTTATTGTTCTGAGCTTTCGAACTCGTGTCGGTCGTTTTGTTGTTACTACTATCTCTCGCTAGGGACTCTTATACGAGTTCTAAAGCTCATGACCATAAGCTGACCGTTCCGTAGCTCTACCAGTCATCATCTTCACTTTCGACTGTTGAACTCCAGCTTTGTTCAAGGATTTTAGACGAATATGGGAAAGGCGTTCGCCGGGAGGGGTATATTTGTATGCTGGCATTTCAGGCAGCGGTTATCTGTCTTTTAAGAGTGAATAATTTCTTTGTACAGCCCTCAGTACATGGGATGTGGGTTACATGTGCATTGTACCCTTACCATGGATCGTAAGTGCCCACTATGAGTGCGGAAGGGACCTCCGTCCTGCCGTGGTATGTCATCTCCGCCCTCGTGGCTATAATCGGCGACTCAAGGTTTTACGTCCTTGCTGTCTCTTGGCAAAATCAGGTCACGGCAGACACGTTTGTCTGGCGGTTGACAAAGAGGCCGATAACCATCCAGTTTTTGTGGGCCCGCCTTGAAGTGTGATCGTAATCTTGGTCAACTATTTCGACGGCGTCTAATAAGTATGCTCCGCCTGCGCGTCATGGGTTGTTTCTCCGAGGTAATTACACTCACAGCAGCTGCATGAAGTTGACTGACTTCTGATTAAGAGTGGGACCCTCCAGCCATCCACCGGACTATCGAAGAATCAGACCTCTGGACATCCACCTTTTCGAGTGGGTTGAGAAATCTAGCCACGGTGTCTGAGACACTACATGTGAGATGTTCCGACGTGATCTGGGTTGGTTAGACTCCTCGTTCCGTCTCCCTTGGGGTTTTCGATTCCTAGCAACGAGTGCCCCGGGGTAGTCGTTGGTGCTGAAGAGCTTTCTGAAGAATTTGACTCTTTCAGCTTTGATGAGATAAACTTGCAAGTTTCACTTCGAAATCTGAATTCCCACCAAAAGTTCCGGGAGACCCACTGACGACGCAACAGGGCATCTGCGCGGCACAAGTCTGGGCTTTTATTCCGTACCCGTCGGTGGGGCGTGTTTCCGCGTGGAACGTACCAGTGTCAGCCTTACACTTGTGAACACCAAGTGGCCTAACACTGAAGTTGATAGCAGTTTACTCATGCTTGTTGGGCCCTCTGGTGGGTACTTGGGAGGACTGAAGACATCCTTGTTCGCACACATTCGTCAGCTTATTCAGCCGACACGCATCAAAGTCAGTCTGGTCTCTAAAATATACTTTTCCCGGATCGTATTGGAGGAGTTTTTGTCTGAACAAAAACAGTAAAAAAAGGATACTCAATGGCTACCTCCGGCGCAACGCAAGACTTAGCGGGGCGAACATGTTCCAATCAGGAAGGCCTATCTGACCCATTACCGAAAGTCGCTGCGTGTGAGGTCACAGAACTTGGTCATCGTGTACATCGAGTGAAAGGTGCTAAATGAGCACTGGCAGTGTGAGTCGGCTCAGCGGTGGATGTGCATGTCGGGGTCACGGTGCTCGATCGGCCTTAGAGCACGCTCAGTTTGGCGATCGTAGGATATGCAGCGGCTAAGCAGTGAGAGTGTACTCAGAGCGCTGCAATCATTGGACCACGTTCCGACCACAGCGGGTTCATTCATTTCTCACCAGGTTACAAACCGGTATTTGCCAGCCGGATCCTACCGGTATCCACAGGGGATCGTTGGGGGGTGGAGGGGAGCACAAATGAGGTGAACCGGTCGCAGTTGCGTCATTTGACGGCGGGGAGTCTTTGAAACATGTCCCGGCCCTCAGCTGAACCTGTGTTGGAAGTTTCTGCATAAAACACACACACACACACTTCCAATTCTTGTTATCGCAGAGACACCATGAACAACTTTGGGTAGAACAAGTTTCTGGGTGAAACACGCGCACCAAAGATGATAGCGTCCAACTCAAACGCTTGAATAAGTACTCGAACCGGGCCTCTACTTCGACGATTCTGTCCCAAATTTGTTGGTTATCTGCAGCCGGTGTACGATGCCGACCCCTCCCCCCCCACCCAGCGGTCTTGGGAGACGAAGGAATGCCTCAGAAACGTCGTCAGTGTACAGAAACGCCCGCCAGACAGTTGGTTGTCCATCTGCTTGACTATGGGTTGGTCTGGACTGCCAACCGCGTTTGAGGCAGTAGGGCTGGCAAGGTTACATTGTCTTGTTTTCTGACTCGCTGCGGCGTGGAAACATTGCGCGCATCTGCGTTCGTGACATAGCGGGAACTTGTTGTGATAGTTTGAGAATTCAGCGTGCGCTGGTGGCCCTCAGCGACCGCTGGCCGAACTCCGCCCCCCAGCC